TGTAAGAGGAATCGCCAAGATCATCTCACCTGCCTTAAATTGTTTGCGGGCAATCAGGCCACGTGTGTGGTACGCTCGCAAGTAAAACTCAACGTTATCCTCAAGCTGTTGCAGAAACAGGGTATGACCACGGGCTGTGCACAGCCGCCGCAACCAAGCAAGGAATTCCGCGACCTGTTCCTCCGGCACTGTCCCCATACTGTCCGTGGAGATCCAGTTCTCGACAAGCAGACGCTGCTTTCCCAACAGCGGTGAGGTGAGGCTGGACGCCCACATGGGAAGCAGCGGCTTCGGTGTGTTGTTTGGCACCACATGGACAGACAAGGCAGTGCGTGCGGGGCGATCGTCTGGATGGCTAAGAAACGAAAACTGTGGTCGGCGGCGCTGTTGTGGCGGTGTTGGTGCCGCGGCAGCTAACGAGGGCGGCGGTGCCATCGCAGCCGCGGCGCTGACTACGGTGGGCTGCCTGGACGTGGCGGTGGGGCGGGAACCGCATTGCTCGCCGTCTGCCTCCACCGCGGCCGCAGCTGCAGCCAGCCCCCCCGCCGCATGGCCCTCCGCCGCGCTATCGGCTGGCGGGGCAACAGAAGAAAACTCCTCCGTCGCCGAAGTGCCGCGGGTCGGTGCCGACGCCGCAGCCCTCGTCGATGCCTGCGGGGCGAGCCGGGCAAGTGGTGAGGACCGCGTCCTTCGAAATGCACCGACGCCCACCCGCATTTTGAACGTGCCCCGGCCGCCGCACGCTCCACTCGGTGGCCGGCGGCGTTGGTTCTCACTGCCGGTTATGCCTCTTCCCACTCTCCCGCCCCCCGCTGTCAACTGCCGTGCGGAGTGCGTGTGTGTGTAAGTGTGTGTGTGAGAGAGAGAGAGCACTAAAGGGGGTGTACGGCGGAAGAAAAGCGACAGAAGCGAGAGTGACAGCGCGCACGGAAGCAGCAGCAGAGCATAAGAAGAGGGGGGCACAGCAGTCTTCACTGAGAAGGCCTCCGTGGCTGCAAACTAAGGGACGAGTGTCCCCGGTGCAGCTGCGTGCTTGTCCGTCCATCGTGTGGGAAAAACGGCGTTGAGCCGCCCCCGAGCCCTATTCACAGGAGCAGGAAGGGGGAAAAAAAAGAAAACGAAAAGTAAGCCAAAAAGGAATAAGTTCCGTTTCTTTATTCTTCGACTCGGTCCACCCTACTTCCCCTTTTCGGGCTTTGTTTATATAAATATAAATATATATATATATATTTCATGCCTCTTCCGTTTACTTCTTTTTCTTTTATATTTTGCGGCGGCAGTTGCACGGTTTGAGCTGCGCCTGCTATACGGCTCCTCTGCTTATTTCCTTTTCTTCTTTCCCCTCCCTCTCTCTGCTTCTCGCACGCACGCGCCCTCGCTTCGCCTCCTGCTGCTCCACTGACCGCCTCAGCCAGAACCGGCCGCCCAACAGATGTGCACCACATGACGGCCCCCCTCCCCCGCATCGCCAGTGACCGCCGCGGCGTCGCGGCAGACGGCGCTAGTAGTGTTTGCGCAGCCGCTTTTTGTGCTGCAGACCGGAGGACTCGTCGCCTGCAGCCGGCCCTGCGCCCATGTTGAACACGACGGGGGAGGATAATGGCTGGGCGAACGACGCAGCGCCCGGCAGACCAGAGGCGGCGCCGGCGGGAGCGCCTACGGACGCGGGCGCAGCGAACGGGTTTGACGGCGCCGCGGGGGCAGCACCCGTCGACCCAAACGGAGAAAACGCCGTCGCGTTGGAGGCGCTGGGAAAAGCCGTAAACGCCCCCGCCCCCGAGGAGGCGCTAAAGGGATTGGAGCCGGCGGCAGCGGTGGGAGGGGCCACAGTCGGCCACGGCGCCTGTGGCGGCCTGGCGGACTCCGTTGGGAACCCAAACCCCTCGTTGGCAGCGGAGTTGCCGCCCGCCTCCGCTGCCTTGGCGCCAAAGGCGGGGGCGGGTGCACTGCCGGCGCCACTAGGCGGAGCAGCTGCGGCGGCGGTGGCCGCCAGAGTCGCTGTCGCCTCTCCTGCGGCGGGCTCGGTCAAAGTCGTCGCACCACCGGGGCCGGAGGGAGTCACGGCCGCTGCACTCGCCGAGGGTGCGCCGAACGAAAACGGATTCTTGGGCATCGATGCGGAGCCCTCGCCGGGTGTCCTCAGCGTCATTGCGGGAGCCCCGAACCCCGGCGCGGTCGCCGGCGTGCTTGCTGCGGCTCCACCAAACGAAAAGGGATTCGTCTGCTCGGCTGCAGGCCCGGAGCGAGTTGCATCGGCCTTCGCAGCAGAGGCGAGCCCCGTCCCAGTCGCGGCGGTGGCGCCGCCTCCGAATGCAAAAGGGTTCGCTGGCGCTGCTGAGGCCTTTGCAGGGTTGGCCTCAGTCGCCGTCGCGGTGGGGTTCACGGGAGGGCGCGCGAACGACGGCACTTCCGTCGCCGCTGGGCGGGCCGCCGTTTGCCTCTTGGCGTCGTCGACGGACCTCTCTAAAAGGGCGATGGCGGTAGACTTTTGGTTCACTTCACCGCGGAGCGCGGCGACGTCGCCGCGGACGGTGTCCACCAGCGCCTGCAGCCCCCTGAAGGACCCGACGGTCCCCTCAAGCGACGACTGCCGCCCATCCATCAGCTCCACGTGCTTCTGCAGCTGCGCCACCTCCACGCGCAGGTCCTGGACGCAGCGCCGCGCACCCTCCTCCGAGCGCTCAAGCGCCTCACGGCTGCGTTGCAGCTCCGCCCGCGTCTCCTCCACAAGTTTGCTTAGCTGGTCATGCTGCTCCTGCAGTCGCCGCAGCTCAGCGCGCAGCGCGGCGGCACTGTTCTCCGCAGAGGCGCCCTCGCCGCCCGGCAACGTCAGGGGTTCCTTTCGTGGGAGCTTCGCGCGTCTGTAGTAGTCTATGGACTCGTCCAGGAGGGAGCGCTCCTCCTCGCTGGAGATGGGCCGCAGCGGGCCTTGGTGGCCCTTCGCATACGGGTCCACAGCCATGGCGTCGCCCTGAAGACTTTTCTCAGCCGCAGCGGGGCCTGCCGTTCTCACGGCGACGCCGTTGACGCGATACTCGCGCCGCGTCTGCTCCCGCCCGCGCTTCCCACGCAGGCCGGAGGCACTCGTCTGTTGGCTCAGTGCGAGAGCCTCCATCGACACATTCGGCGTGAAGAAGAGCGGAACCGGCACCTGCGCGTCCTCGTGGACGTAGTAGTTGTTGACGACAGGCGCGTTGGCCATCCGCGTGGTTCCTGCAGCGGGTGCTGCTGCTGCTGCTGCGTCGCTTGCAAGCGTGCGGGTCTTCGTCGAGGGGCGCAAAGAGTGTGCACAGCCGTACGCAATCGGCGGCCGCGCTCGCTCGTGGTGCTCCTCGCGGAGTTGCGGTTGTGGTACTTTTTGCGGGAGCGGCCGCGGAAGAGAGGCGGCAAAGGCGAAGAGAAGAAAAAGGCGAAAAGGGGGGAAAAAACACACGAAAAAACTGTGGGGGAGGCGTCGTGCCCCGTCACACACACACACACACACACTCAGACGGAGACAGAGGAGGAAGGAAAGGGAGAGTGGAGAAGCAGCAGCGTCGGGTGTAGACACCCACCCCACACACACGCACACACGCAGTCCCCCCGCTTCTCACCCACGCGTCGGCGGAGGCGCCCGCGCCGGCTCAGCCCGGCGTTGTGGACGCCGCCACCCACTGCAGGTACCCCGCGCTGCCGGGCCCCATCGGCACGCTGATCACCTCCGGCACGTCGTACGGGTGGTGACGCGTCACCTCCGCGACGACCTCCTCGACGCGCGCCGTCTGCGTCTTTATCATCATCAGGCACTCGCTCTCCTCCTGCAGGCGGCCCTCCCACTGGTACACGGAGGCCACGGTGGGAATGATGTTCACGCAGGCCGCCATCCTGCCCACGACCAGCCGCCGCGAGAGCTCCCGCGCCACCTCCATCGACGGGGTCGTCACGTAACACACGGAGAACGCCATGCAGAGAGCACTGGCGCAGCCCAAAGGATAAATGAAGACCCAGAGGAAAGCGGAAAGGCTGCAGCTACAACAATTGGCTCCTCAGCCGCGCTGAAGCAGCAGAGACGCACCGACACAGCAACAAGAGAGTCAACCTCAAGCACAGAGAGGAGGAGACGTAGAAAGAAAAATATAAATGGAGAGAGAGCAAGAGTGAGCACACACACAACAAAAAAAAAACTCGTCCATGCGGGGAACTATCCATGTCCCTTCTCACGGCTGCGCCTCGCCTTTCCCCCCCCCCCTCCTCCGCTGCGGTACACCTTCGCAGGCGTCAGCGCAGGTGCACTGAAGCTCCGGCGCCACCCGGGATGGCAAATAGAAACAAATTGTCGTCTGCGTGAACCCGCGCGAGCGTGTCGCACGCCCAAAAGGGAATGGAACATGCAGGCTTCCCACGTGAAACAGATGCCCCACATGCCCCTCACACCTTCGACGGCAGGGAACACCAGCCAGGCACGGCGATGAGGCGTTCGCCGGGGTAGACGACGGCGGTGAGCTCCCCGCCGTACACGCACCGCGTGTCTAATCCAATCGCGTACGGGTACCGCTGGAGGCCCCGTCTGGCGTCGTGGCCAAAGAGAACCGTCTCCGGACCTCGCCACAGCGAGGCCCACGGCACGCCCTCGGTTGTATCCTCGGACGCGGTGTGCGGCCCGGGCCCGTGCGCAACGAGGTTGCGCGTCGTGGTCACCTCATCCACCAACTGCTGCTCGAGAGGGCGCTGGACGTGAAGGCCCGCGTGCACCACCAGCAGGTTGTGGGCGGGGATGCGAAGAATGTGCGGCAGGCGTGACAAATACTCCTCAACATCCTGCGGCAGCGTCGTGGCGAGCAGGGCCAAACTCGAGCTTCTTTGCTTCCCGGTGAGCGCCCCATTTTTGCGCAACTTTTTCCGAAGTTTGAGCAGCTTGGCGTCATGGTTGCCGAGCACCGCGCGTGCGCCAATGCCCCGCAGCAGACGCACGACGCCGACCGAGTCCGGCCCCTTGTTCACCAGGTCCCCAACGCTGATCACCGCATCCCTGCCCTTTACGAAGGCCGCGGCCGCCAACAGCTCCTGCAGTTGGGTGAGGCAGCCGTGAATGTCGCCCACAATAATGACTCGCCCGGCCACGTTGCCGATCGTCTCCACCTGTGCGTATTTGCTTTTCATGCCGCCAACTACCCGCCTTGCCGGTGCAATCGACACGAGCAGAGGAGCTTTTTGTTTTGTTGTTGTTGTTGTTGTTGTTGTTTTGTGTTGTGCCACCGCAACAACGAGGAAGCAAAGAAAGTGGTGAGTTGTGTGTCCACCCCCAGCCCCCAGCGGCAAGAAGTCCCCTGCTCGGGACCAGAAACAGTAGGGGAAAAAAAAACACAGTGGCGCGCAGGTGGCGTCCACGGGATTCATCGCCCCCCCCCCACACCTCTTTGTGCTGCTGGATTTCCCTTGGTCCGTCTCTCCGCACAAGCGTCATTGCCAGCATCATTCACCCTCCCCCCGCATATATGCGTGCGAAGGAAAAAACAAAGATGTAACGAGGCTACGCACACACAAAAAAAAGAAGAAGGAAAGGGAAGCGTAGTGCGTGGGTGGCGCTAGAGGCAGTGGTACCAGACCACCACCTCCGCCTCCACCGGGTCGATGCAGACGTAGCAGTAGTTCAAGTTACTGGGCTCCACCTCGTCGGCTCTGCTAAAGAGGGAGAGTCCGCCCACCGCCTGCACAGCAACCACCGTTGAGACCACCTCCGCGACCAGCGCACCACTGTCCGCCTCCGCGGCCCGATCGGGCTCGTCCATGCCGCCTGCGACAGCCGTCGCCTCGCCCGCGTGCACCGCACGGATGGCGACAAGGCTCTTGTACCACGCACGCGCCAGGTCCAGGTACACGCCCAGGTCCTCGTCCCACTGGTTGTTGTTGCCGCCGCCCGCCACAAAGCGCCATACAATGTGGTACAAAAACTCGGCACGCTCCGCCTCGCTGAAAATTCGGCGAAGCGTCGCAAGTGAAAGCTTCGCGCCGGAGCCGTAGCTAAACGTGTTCCACGCCTCCTCCTCGTCCTCCGCGTCGCACATGGCGCGGCTGGGGGAAAGCAGGAAGAGCGCCCGCAGCTCGTCAGTCACGGCGATGTCGTGCGGAAGGTACACCTCCGCGCGCCGGACGACGGGGAAATGGACGGCGCCGTCAAATAGGGCCGCCTCTGCCTCGTCACGGGGAACATCCTCCTGCGGCTCCACACGCCGCACGACACCCGCCTCGACAAGGCGCATAAACGGCTCCAAGGTCGTCCACCGACAGTGCAGCTCGGTGTACTGCACGGCGTCGCCCGCTGCTTGGGGCGCAGCACGAAGCGCGAGTGCCGCACGCACCGCGGTAGAGTCAAAGAGAGAGACGAGAAACTCCTGCAGCATCCCTTTGTGAAACCCAGAGAACCGCAGCGCACCGGCAACCACGACGCCGCCGCCGCCAAGACCATCCTGCACGGCGCTGCTGGTGTTGTCCTGCTGAAACCGGAAGGCGCACACACGCGTCTGACTGTGCAGCCCCCATCGCTGTTGCGCCTCCTTGAAGACCGGGTCTGCCAGAACTGCGCCCAGGCGCCGCGGCGTCTTCAGCTCAAAGGAGAAGCGAGTCCGCGGCCCCATTTACCTATTCCCTCCCGTTCCAATGGCCTCCCACGCAGCTGCTGCTTCTTCAGGAGTGCAGTGTGAAGGCAAATGACGTGAAGCGGATAAGCAGGGCTAATACACAGACGCACACACACACACACACAAAATGCGCGAGCGTGCGGGGTACGGAAGCGTGGAAGCCAAGAAGCAAAATAATAATAGAAAAAAAATGGGAGGAAGGTGTTGTGGCAAGGCTCACGTCCTCCCACAAAAAAGGGGCACGGCGGCGTCGGAAGCTACAAGCATTCTTTCCCCGTTCAATCCACGTTGCGGAAAGCCATCGCCAGCTAGGCTGCGTAGCCGTTTCCTCCTCTTGGCGTCTCCTCCCCCATCGCTGTGTCTTCCTGCTACTTTGTTTTTCCTCCCGTCTGCCCTATTACCTGCCTTCCTCGTTACTAGCACCATGGGTCCCCCACCCCGGCATCCGCTACATACGCGCCGCGCTGCCGTGGAGTGACGCCCAAGGACGGGGTGCCGCAGAGCGAAAGCCGTGGCGCCGCCCACGCGGCCTCACTCCCCTTCCACCGCACCTCACAGAAACGACTTGCGCTCTAGGAATCGCTTCAAGAAATACAGCTGGAAGACGCTCATGACGACCAGCGCAAGGACCTGAAACACGCTCCAGACGAGCAGGCGCTCGTTCGAATCCTCCACCGTCGCCCTGTGTTCCTTCTGCTGGGAGCGCAGCTGCATCTGCAGCGCCTCCACCTCCCGCATTGTGGCGGATATGTGCTCCACCTTCCGCTCCACCGGGTCCAGCTCCTCCTTCTTCGCCACGGAGGTGTAGTCGACGTGGTAGCGGAAGTGAAAGACGACCAGCTTCGGGGTGTAGTGTGCGTAGCTGTTGTCGAGGCAGGCGACGATGGCCTTCGTGCCGCCCTGGGCGAGCACCTCGTATATCCCCTCCGTCGTCTCCGCCCACTCGCGGAGGACTTTCCCGTCCTGGTCCGCGACGGAGGCGCGGATGTCGCGGTTGCCGCCGCTGACCACCTGGAACTGAAACGTCACCCGGCTCTGCGGCGGCACCACCTCCTGCAGGCACAACTTCTCGCCGCTGCCAACGGTGGTCGAGGCGGCGTCGGCGCCAAGAAATGAGGCCGCTGCCGCCGCCAGGAAAAGCAGCAGCAGCAGCAGCAGCAGCGGATGCGCTGCTGGGCGCGGCCGGCACTCGCCTCGACGGGGCATCGCTCTTTTTTTTTTTCTTTTTTTTTCTTGTTGTTTATTGTGTTTTATTTTTCTTTATTCTTTTTCGCTCCCCTCGCCTGTCCGCCTCGGTGTCCTCCGCCTCGCGCCTCCCCCCGTCTCCCTGCTGGACTGGCCTGCGGTGACGCACGTGTGGCTGCCGCTTTGCTCGTGCGGCGCGCGCTCTCTCGTCCCTTTTTTCCTGCCTCGGCGGCAAAACGCGAAAACGGCACGGCAGGCGCGCGTGGCAGAGACAACGTGCGGGCAGAGACCAAAACAGAAAACAAGCAAACCCACAAACAAAAGGGCCCCCGCCGCGGCAAAAACACCGAGAAAGAGAAAGAGCGAGAGCGAGAGCCTAGCAGGAGGCGCAAACGGTTGCGACAACTCCTCACCCGGCAACGCAGAAGCCAACGACATGTATATATATCAGCGACAGAGGTATGCCCGCACAAGGCGTCGCTGGTGGAGTCGCGAACCGGCAGCCGCGCCGTATGCCCGCAACCAGACACAGAGCGAGAGAGAGGAAGAGAGAGAGGGAGAAGCAGGCGCCATGTACGCTAGAGCTTCAGCGCCAGACGACAACTCACGGCCTGTGTACTCCGTGCGGAATGATTGCCTCAGCTATAAGGCCGCTGCGCCGAACACACACTCGCAAACAAACAGGCAGACAACAACGAAAAATCAAAAAGTCGTTTTTTCCCCTCCGTTTTTTTTTGTTTTGCCCCCTTCCCTGACGCTGCGGAACCCAACGCACACACGTGGCAGCCACCAGATGCAATCGCGCGGGCCGCCCCTGTCCCCCAAGCCACCAACTCCCGCAGCCGGTGTGGCCCCCACAGCCGCCGATCAGTGGCCCAGCGCAGCTCTGCGACGCCGCCGCGAATTCAGGGCCGGGGCACAAGTGCCGTGAGGTGGCAGCTGCCACCAGCCACCCCCCACACACACAAAAAAAAAATGGACGTCGTACAGAAAACTGCAAAATAATACCTCTCCCGTAAGAAACAGGGAGCTCTGTATAGCACGTGTATATAGATAAAGATAGACACAAAGCAAAGCTCACCCAAGGAGAACCGAAAATGACATGACCGTCTATCTAGAAGGGCAGTGGCTGTCCACGAAGGACTGAACGTCCCTCAAAACCTCCCTCCATGACACCTCGTTGAGAACCTCGTGCGACAACCCATCATACGCAATAAATTTCTTGTCGCTTGAGGGCGCCAACTCGGCGAACCGACGAGAGCCGCTGATGGCGCACAGGCGGTCGTCTCCGCCGTGAACGATGAGCAGCGGAAAGGTAGCCTTATCCACTTTTTTCCAGAATTCGTCGATGGCGCGCAGCATCTCCGCCCCCCAGCGTGCCGTGAGAGAGGCGGAGGACATAAATGGGTCCTGCTTGGCAAGCTCCACAACTTGGCTGTTCTTGCTGATGAGGTTGACGTCGAGTGTCTTTACACCGAGCTTCGGGAAGCACCTGGAAACCTTCGGCACAAGCCAGCGCATGAAGGGCGTGGTCAGTTTTGGGTCCAATTCGAGGGCCGGGCCGCTGAGGACGACGGCGGTCCACGCGTCTGGGTCACGTAGCGCGACGTGTGCCGCGATGAGGCCGCCCATAGAGTGCCCCAAGAGGCAGCACGGCAGGGTCGCGTAGTCCGGGTAGCGGGAAAGCACAATTTTCTTAAACAGCACAAAGTCGTCCACGAAATCGTCGAAGTTTTCCACGTAGAGCCGCTTACCCTCGCTCCCGCCGGCCCCTTGATTGTCCATGCAGAAGACATAGTAGCCCGCGCGGGCAAACGCGAGTGCCACGGCGTCGTACCGCGCCGTGTGCTCCGCAACGCCGCTGATGATGAACAGCACCGCGCGGACGTCGGGCACGTCGCGAGGCGGCGCCCATTCCGCAAAGCGCAGCCACAGTCCCTGTTTGTTCTGGAAGTACCGCGGGAAGAGCTCCGGGTCGGGTGGCGCGCGTGAGGGTTTGGCGAACTCCAGTGCGTGTGAGGCCCGCAGGCAGGGGCAACAGGAGCCCATAATACGATGCTTTGTGGGGCGATCTGCCGAGCGAGAGAAAGAGGGAGAGGGCGGGAAACGTGGTTCAGAGGGGCAAGGCAATAACAAAAAAAAGCACACACACACCGCCCGGCAGAAGCAAAAAGCGTTGGCAACACATCGATGAATTTCCTCAAGAGCCACGCGGAGAAAGTGGCGGCGCGGCACTGCATGGTTGACGCTGGGCGTGCCAACGAGAGTAGGAGTGGCGGCAGACTCCCACGCAGCCATGCACGGATACGGGGGGCACGCGCCTGCGTAGTTGCGACAAACAAGGATGCGGAGCAAACAACGGAAAGACACACACACACACACACACACACCGCGACGAAAAAAAAGGACCTGCACACACGAATCAGCACAGACCCTCGCACCGCGCTCTATTTCCGTCCCTCCACCGGAGGGCCAGTGAAAGTGTCGGGGGGTTGTAGCACCACCTCCAGCTGCCTTGCCATCTGCAGCACCTGCGCCCGCAGTGCCTGGCGATCCAAGTCCCGTTGCTGAAGCAAAAGAAGACGATGCTGCAGCTGCGCCTCCGCCTGCTGAATTCGTCTCTCGCAGCCCGTGCGGCTTTGTCTCTGGGCAGAATACAGCCGGAGCTTCTCGCGAAGTATGCGAGTCTCCTCACGCTCCGCCGAGGCAGTAGCCAACATCGCACGGTACGTCAAGAGCAGATTCTTGCCTTCCGCAACGCTAACTGAGGCGTCGAGACAGGCAGTTGCCATTGAAGTGTTGAACGAGGCAGCGGGCGTGAGGGCAGCGAGTTGCGGCGAGGGGAAGGCGTCCTCGGCGAGGGTGTTTGAGGCTCTCGGAGGAGACGTCGCGTGAGCCGCCAGAGGGGCAGGGGAGTTGTCACATCCAGCAGCAGCACCCGCAGCAACACGTGTCGCCGGTGCGGCGGCGCCCACGTGGTTCATGCGCCCCACGAGGGGAATGGCGGCGGAGCGGGCAACGAGACGCCGACGAAGCGCCTCCACAGGGTCAACGCCTATGGCTGCTTCACTGGGCGTGTGTGGGGCGGGGCCCACACCAGCAGCGGCAGCAGAAGCAGAAGCAGAAGCAGAAGCAGGGGCAGTTGGAGTTGCGTGGGCGACGGCGGCCGTGCCTTTTGCCTTCTGTGGCGGCGGCTCCCCCCTGGGCGCAGTTTCTTCGCCTGACGGCTGCCAAAAGGTCAGGAGAACACTACTCAGCAGGCGATTGACGGTGAGCTCGCGCACAAGCTCTGTGCGGCGGTGGTATGCAGCCTGCTCCAGCGCCCTGTACTCACGCCGCGACTGCGTGCGTCGCATCCACCTGTGAAAGGAGAGGGGAAGCAGGCGGCTTCGCAGTGCGGCCGCGTAGCATTCACCCGCTTGGGCAACGTGTTGCCTGCACAGCCGCCTCCGGAGTGTGCGCTCCCTCCAGTGCTGCACGACGCGGGATTTGCAACGGCGCGCCAAGTCGCTCCACCGCCGCTCACACAACGCCTGCCGCTCGGCGAAGAGGAGCCATTTGTAGAAGTACCTACAACGGGCGACAAGGGCGGTTCGCCGGCTGTGGAGTGTGCTGACCGTGCGCAGGAGCCACCGTTGATAGCCGCAGGACCTGGCACGCCCGTCTCTATGTTGCGCTATGCGCGCCAGGGCCGCCTCATACCTGCGCAGCCGCATACCGCGCCGCCGCGCGGTCTCGCCAAGCCAACGAATCCAGTAGAACCGCATCGCAAGCGACTCAGACGCCACGTGCTCAGAAAGGAGGCGGGCGTGGGGAGAAGGCGGCGGACGCTCAGAGCCGCTCCTCGTGACCGGCAGCCGGTAACTCGCCGTCCAGGCTGCGGGAAGGTGCAGAAGGAGCCCGGCCACGCGCAGGCGACGAGCGCTTCGTCGCCACGCCACAAGTCTCCAGGCCATCCAACACGACTGCCGGCGCCACCGCGCCGCCGCAGTCGCTACCCTGGTGTACGCAATGCACTGCAGGGAGTGGCGGTGCCAGGCAAGCCAGCAGCGCAGGAGAAGCGCCCTCGCAAGCCCCTCGCTCATGGCGGCCGCCTGCGCCCTCGCCTCCCGCCTCGCGCGTACCCACATCCCCCACGCCTTCAGTCCCCGCCTCAGCGCCGCGGCAAGGCAGTGCCTCTGTGCGGCTGCAGCGTTGGCTTTGTCCCGCCAGCGTTCTCTATAGCGCCACTGCCAGGCCCGGAAGAAGAGAAACAGGCGGCGCCTCGCGTACCACTCCGCCGCCACGCACGCCTGGCAGCGCCGCGTCTCCACGACGGCGGCGGCGCGGTTCCGCCAGCGACGCAGCGCCCGCGCCAGCAACGAGGAGCGGTACGTGACGTGGGCAACAATCATCAGCGACACCGGCGCCCCGTCGGCCGCGTCGCTCTCCGCGGAGAGAAGCTCGAGCAGCGGGCACCACTTCCTGCGCGCCTCCGTCGCCGCCGTGGAGGTCCCCGCCCCGAGCATCCTGCTGCTGCCGCTGCTGCCGCTGCTGAGACGCAAGCAGGCGCCAACGCATCAAGCGGGCCTTCGCCACAGCGCAGATGAATGCCGTGACGCTGCGAAGAAAAAGCCGAGGGAACTCCGCTGCGGGGTGCAACGGCAGGAGTAAAATAACAACAAAGGGAGGAGGGACAAAAAGAAAAAAAAGGATGGAGAAAGCCATTCCCTGCCCTGCAACGAGCAAGGCACACACGCACGCACACACACATCCTGCCAACACCAACGAAGGCCAACAGGGGCCACTTCCTTCACTGCGGCCTCCACGCACTCGCCGTCCCAAAAAAGAAACAAAAAGAAAGGGCATTAAATAGCACCCGTATATATATTTATTTATATACATCGCTCTTTCCCCCGCAAAAAAAAAACACTCACATACAGCCATGCATGTTCATAGAGACATTAACAGCAAAGACATCGAAAGGTGAAATTGGCAATAAATGCGGCCGCAGACCAAGCCACAGAAAAGTCCGGCTTAAAAATAGCCAAGGCCTCACTGTGCATACCACTGAACTTGGTGCGGTCCATGAATGACATTCTCTTCAACAGCTCATCCTTCCTCATCTCTTTCTTTCCTTCGCTCGCTAGAGGCCCTCCTGCACTGTTACACTGTCACGCACACTTCAGTTTCTCACCTACACTCACATACACACTCACATGCAGATACATATAAAGGGAGAGAGAACTGCATACATGCATGCCTCAAGAAAAAAAAGAAAAACCCAACGAAAAATGGGCACGAGAAAAAGAAAACTCTTCGCAGCTCCGCACGTGAGGTCTCCTTCCACGCTTAGAAGCTTCTACTTTGCGTTAGAGTCCGGAGTGCCGCTGCGGCTTTCTTTAGACAGGGGCCACCGCAGACTTGAGCCTGAACTGCCTTTTGACCCACGCGCCTCGGCGGCCGAGGGGGCCCGTGCAAGAATCTCTCCGCCAATGAGGCCGGTGTCGCGCAGCGGCATTTTCCGACGCTCCACGACGGACAGGGGGGTTGTGCCGGCTTCAGGCTCCCCTGGTGGTAGTGCGGTGGGCGGAGGCGTGTGGGGAGAAGTTGCCGGCGCGTCTTGCCCGGCGCTGCCACCTGTGAGGGGCGCCGGCACGGAGAGAAGCGACGGGGAATGCGGCGGGTCGTGCCGCACCTCCACGACACGCGCCGACGCCACCGTTGACGAGGGAACAAACGGTTTCCGGTTCGGTCGGTACGGGTCGAGGGAGGAGGCGGTTGCGTAGAAGCCCTGAGCGCCCTGCGGCGCCACGGCGTCGTCGGCCACGCCGCCCCGCTGCGGTGCATCCAACGCCGGGGACACCTCCTGCTGCTGCTGCTCCTCCTCCTCCTCCGTCTCCTGCGGCGGCGCGTGCTCCAGCTTTGCCCGCTCCTCCGGGTCGAGGTCCATGAGTGTGCTTTGCACGGTTTCCTGGCGATCCTCCACCACCAGCACCCGCGGCTTCTTCGCCGACTCCCGTAGCTCTGTCAGCAGCGGAAGGCCATTCGCCCGCCGCCAGCGATTCTCGTCCTCGCGGCGCTTGCGCTCCGCCTCAAACGCCTGCTGGGCGACGCGGGTGTAGTACGCGTCGTCGGTCTCCGCCGCCTCCTCCGGCACCCGGTAGCCGGCGGGGTACCCCTCCATCGCATCCGCCGCCGAGGCGACGGGCCCATCGTCGGGCTCCGAGGGCGCCGCCGCGCCGGAAAGCCTGTACGACGACGTGAGCGTCGCCGCGTGGCGGGAGCAGCACACCTGCGCACACGCGGGCGGCGGCGGCGGCGGGTCCAGCTTGAGGCTGGTGCGTCGCGGGGACACCAGCGAGATGAATATTGGAATGCACATCACCGCGCAGCACAGAACAGGAAGAGCGATGCCCACTGCGTACCGGCAGCCAAGGTCGCACTTCTCCCTCGGCGTATCAGGGGCGGCCTCCCTCACGACGATGGCCTCCGTCGCACGACCGCCGTTTTGCCAGTAGAGCGACTGCAGGTAGGATGTGTCGGCGCGGCGCACAAGGGCGCTGATTTCATCATCTGTCAACTCCCCGCCGCCCTCAAACCGCGTCACGGCGTAGACGACCGCGAGGCCCTCCCCTGGGCCAAAGTGGCAGCCACGCACGCTCAATCCCGTCACACCAGGCGGTGCCGACAAGGAGGCCATCAGCAGATCCGCCACCGCCGCAGCGACCGGATTAATCAGCGTGGAGACCGTCCTCTGCCCAGCCGGGGCGCTGCTGTGCTGCAGCAGCGTCTCATACACGTACGGCCACTCAGAGCCGGAGAACTCGACGCGAAACACATCCTGCGCAGGAACAGTCGCAGAAACATACCCCGCTGCTACGACGCTCAGTGGAGCGTGTAAGGCAAGAAACAAAAGAAAGAATTCCCCGGAGACGGCCGCGAAATTGGGGCATCGCGCGGGGACGAGAAGTCTAGCGGGCCTATTTGCAGTCATCCACAGCAGCAGCAGCAGCAGAAGCACAGAGCACCCAGCCACGTTCGTGAGAACTTCAAGGAAAATTGGCGACAACTTTATAGAACTGCCCGCAAGAGGTAAGAAAAAAAACACAGAAAGAAAGAAAGCAGGATAATACTGCAGCAACCCAAGCAACAACACCCAAAAAGTAGGGAACGCGCCGCAGCAGCTGCTCGCGGAAGGCGCAAAAAACTGCTGAGCACCGCAGCGGCAGACACGCGGGCAGCGGAGCAACGAGGCAACAGGAAAAGGAAGAGACGGCGGCGCGCCCCGCCCACCAGACGCGCCGACCACCACCAGCGAGAGCTTGGGCAACTCCGCCGCCCGCCGACAACCCCCCGCGGAGAGGCGGGCCACAGAACACCAATAGAAACAGGCACCCCCGCACAAGCACCGTTGCCCACAGGAGGGAAGGCAGCGCTGCCGCGCGGCCGCGTTGTTCCGGGAGTGAAGCGCACCCACGCGACAGCGAAAGGCGCCATCGCGGCGACAGGCCGCCGCCGCAACAGCCGGGAGCGCCCGCGCACCCGCCAGGGCCGCAGAGCAGCAGCCGAGTCGCCCGCAGTGCGGCGGCCGTGCTCCCACAGAAGTGCGTCCCGGGGGCAGCCGCACATCGCCGCGGCCATAGCGCGGGCAACGCCGGAAGACACGCTGCGGGCGCGGGGCCACCGTCGCGCTCCGCAGAAACTCCGCCCCTCTTCGGCGCAGCGCGAGGGGGCGGGGTGAGAAGGAAGGCAGGAAGGAAAGAGGAGGCGCAATTAAGCAGACCGGCACAACACTCGCGCGGACGGCGGCAACGGCGGAGGCGCCGAGCGAAGGAGGGGAACGGCCGGCGCTCGGAGAAGCGCCCATGGAAATGCGAGCAGCGAACGCAAACACGCAGCAGCAGGGGGAAAAAAAGAAAAAAAAGAAGGACGAAAGCGATGGGG